GCTTGACAAAAATACTCAAACGCTGACATTAAACAAAAGACTTTCGGTTTCAAAGTCCTGTCAAAAGGATTCGATGTCCTTTCAATCGAAAGCTGGTCAAATATTTGTTGTCCCTTATTGTTGTTTTTATTTTTATATTATTTACCGGCTGCCAGAATAAAAAAGATAGGATTTTTAGCCCCAAGTGTTTATTGTGAGCTTACAGTTTGCATAAATTTATCAGACGGCGGGCAAAAAAGTTGGAACAAATTGACGAAAAAAGCAAACAGGTTGGCAGGTTTCAAAAAGGACTAAGGACTAAAGGTTTCTAGGTTTATTTGAGTTTAAATTATTGGTATTTTAATTTTTTAAGAAAGTTTTTTCAAGTCAAGGAATCATATTTAAGGAGAGATTATTAGAAAAGGTTCAAAACCTTAAAGTAAGTCACATTTTCTCAATAAAAAATTAATCAATTTTTTCCAAATATATTTCTTAATTTCTTATTATTAAATTTTAAGTTTCTAGTAAGTTGGTGAGAATATTACCCTATCCTTTCTTAACCCCAAATATTTCAGATTTCCCAAATATCTTAACTTCTCCCCCAGTAAAAAAATATCAAAGCTCAAGACCCTTAGACCCTTTGGAAATTTTCTTCCTTTTTGAAGGACATTTAATTAGCGTGAATTATTTTGTGCGCAACATTTTAATTTAGCAAATTAAGTGCCGCCGTGTTGTTCCAAATCATCGAAGCTAAGCCACGCCCACGTTACTCCACCCACCGCCCTACTATATACTCACCGCCCGACTTAATACCCCTTCCCCCACACTCCCAACTCCTCATGGATTTAGTAAAAGGAATCTCAGCTATTGGGGATTATGTCGAACCAATGGCTAATTGGCAGGGGATTCCCTTACTTTCTCGGAATGAAGTTAATTGTATTTTGTATTTTTTTTTTTGCCATCTCCCCCCCACTTAAGCGCATTAGAAAATAAACAGGAAGCCAAGTCTGGGTTAACCACGATTGAGTTTTTGCCAACTGCTCACTCACTCAGTCTTTTATTTTTATTCTATATTCTATTTATTTATTTAATTTCCTATTGATTCCATCACTTTGGGTGACATGTTACAAATTGCCAACATTGGCTTTTTGAGTCTAATGCTTTAAAACGGCGACAATTTAAAGTTTTTTTCAGACAATTGACTTTGTTTGCGTGACGATTTGGATTTTGTGGTAAGTGACCGTGCCTCTTGGGCTTTAGGGTTCTTGGTTTCTAAGGGAACCTCCTATGGGAGCCTATCCTTAAGCTAAATGTGCTATTAGAGTGTTGTAACTAGTCTTTAACTAGTGGTCATTTATATTAAAAAAAATATTGTAATGAATTATTCAAGAATATATAAAAGTTTTTAATTTCTTGTATGTGTTAACTTTTAATTACACTTTTTATTTTGCATAATTATTGCGTAGGGGTATGAAGTATATATGAAATTTATAAAAAAAATAAGACAGGATATGATAGAATCTTGAAAGAATCAAATATATATTTAATATAATTTCAATGGTATAATTAATTATTTCATTAAATTATATTTGCTTATTGCGTATATGACTTGTATATAATTCATATAGAGTATAGTATATATGAAATTCATCTAAAAATAAGATAGAAAAAGACAGAATCTTTAAATAAAAACCAAGATCTACATTTATGTTAATATTATACATATTTTATAGTAATTATATTAAAAATAATAACACTTACCATTGTTCATGTACTCCCCCAAATGTATGCTAAATATTATAGTACTGCAATTCAGTATTTTATTTATAATCCTCTTTTATAGGCATCTTCATATTTCCATTCTCTTTCTTACTAACTGTTCTTTATGAATCCTTAAACACACGCGAAAGCGAGCCTTAAAGCAAAGGCCACAAACACAATTCAAGAATTACTCTCAAAAACACTATCAAAATAGGTTCCTATGGGTTCTATACTAACCACACCTACAAGGACACTTTTAACTAAAGATATTAACTAATTTTAAACTAAAAATGCACATTAAAAACTCCAAATAAACACACGCGTTATAAGGACACTCTCGAAGCGTCATCTTGACTTCAAGAACTGAACAAGCGACAAAGGAAACACAACAAAGAGCGAGAGCCAAGGATCACTAGGGAGGAGAGAGAAATTCCAAATGAGAGCAGGAGCCAAAAGCCAAGCTCCACACTCCCTCTAGTTGGAGAGCACAAATAAAGTAATTTTGCGAAACTAATAAAGGGTTAGCCTAGTAAAGAAAATAATATAAAAACTTTAAAGTTTCAACAATGTTTTAAAGATACACAGTTTGTTTCAAAAACAAAAACCCAAAAAGCAAATGAAACACAAACAAAACAAAAAACACAAAAATAAAAAACAAACCAAAAAAATAAATAAAACCTGAACTCGCGCCTCATTTCGTTTGTAATTTGTTCGAATAAATTGGCAATCTAGGGTTGGGGGGCGAAATCGAGCGAATAAAAAGCGAGTAGGAGTGAGGGAAGTTCTTTCACCTTTCTTTTTTTTTTGGGGTGGGGGCATGCCACCTCCCTGTACCATCATGCCAGGCCGCCTGCCCCCCTTATCAGTGCTCTTTGTAATTTCTGGCCAACCATTTTCCATTGGCATTGCATTGGCCATTTTTATATTTTCGGTTCATTTCGCTGGTACCGCCCCCCTCCTACTCAACAACCGCCTACTTGTACGCCTCCCCCCCAGACTCTCACCCTCTCGTCCTTTTTCTGGTTTTCCCCATCATTTTCCTTCCTATTTTTTCTTTGTGTACTTTATTTACCTTCTCTCTTATGCGTTTTGTTTTGATTTACTTTTTATGGGATATTTAAAGTTTTTGACGTATACTTTTAACTATTTAACATTTTAATGTTAAATATAAAATAAATGTACAAGAATAAAATGAATATTTTTTAAGAATTTGAACCGTATTTAAAGTAATAACCTCTTTAGAGATATATATCTTTATCTAGTTTTTAAAAACTCTGTAAAACTTAAACTCAAAACTCACCCATATGTTAACGAAAAATATATATTTCTTAGCAGAGTATCTGAAAAAAAACATAAAGTAAAATTTTAAAAGTGTTAAGAAAAATATCAGAAATTAAAGGACAACTTATGGTGTAAAAAATAATATTATTTTCTAAGGAAAGTGTTCCTAGATAAAGGTATAACATAAAGAACTGATTTTATAAACAAAGCTGTTTAAGATTAGTTATGATGGAGTAAAAAATACATTAAAATATATATAGAATTTTAAAAGCAATAAAAGAATTAAAATGTTATAATTAAATAATAAATGAAAGTCAAATTTTAAGATATGGTAAGGGATACATTAGGATAAACATTGCTGCTCTTTATTGATTTATTAGCTGAAAAATATTCAATTTTAAGGCAATAATTTCTTAATTTCAAATTAAAATATCTTTTTTCAAATAAAGAAACCATAAAAACCGGCCACCCTTGACGATTCTTGGCCAAAAGTGTCGTTGAGAAACCCCATCGAGTTGTGTCACCAAAAAAAAGGGAAATCGTAGTTTCTAAATCTTACGCCAAACGACCTTGACCAATCGAAGCCAAGGACGAGGCCTTGAGGGCCAGAGGAGCGCAAAAGGTGTTGAGCCGAGCTGATAGCCCAACGGCAGGACATTCATTCAAAGGACTCAATCGACAGTGCGGTTAATGGCCACGACAAATTTCACTGCGGTTGGCCGAAATTCATTGGCTTATCTGTCTGTGAATTTTGTGTCCTGCCAGTCCTTGCAGTCCTGCTGCAAGTCTGGGCATTCTGGACATTCTGACCATCCAAACATCCAGCGTGGACTGTGTCCTGCATCCTTAAATCGAGTTAGTTATGCCAATTAATGCGACAATTGTCGAAAATAGAGCTCCTGCAGATTGAACGAACGATGTATCCTAATCACCAATAATCTGCATTAATGGCCATCAATTTGGTTTCCGATGCATGTCCATGTCCTGCGGTCAGAAAATGTCCTTGGCCAGGACCACCATGCAAACCAATGCCTCATACTGTTTTTAAAAACCTTCACTTCGAACTGAAATATATGTATATATTTGAAATTATTCAATCATGGTATATCTGTATTCTTATCTGAGCGATACATTGGGGTTTTCCTCACTCCCCTGGTTTTTTTTTTTTTTTGTATTATCTATGAGACACCCCTTCCAACTACTCGAAAGATAAGCATTACTTAAATAATATTTATATATTAGTTTGCTTTTGGTATTTCCATTGATTTCGATTCGATAATTTAAATGCGGAATTTCTCAATTTGTGGGCAATTGGTTGGTTTATTCGTTTATTGTTCTGGCTCGACTGTTGTATTTATTGATTGATAATTAACACTTTAAGTAGTACACTTGAAGAAATGAATGGATATTAAAAAAATGGAAATTAATAAACGATGAAAAATTATTGTAACACCTCATGGTTAGGTTTAATGTCAATGCGTGAGATAGAGCGGGAATTTTGTAGGAATTTCTCTAATTTCTGCTCATAATTTGGCGAAAGAAATATAAGAAAATTAAGAAAAAATCTTATATTTTGTTAATTATATTGTAGAATTTAATCTTTATAAATTCGTTCAAGTTTTTTGTTGAAAAAAATATACCATATCTTTATAAGAAAACTCTTAAGACAAAGCATATGTACATGTGTGGTTCAAGAAACTCCCGTGTTATATCTTGTTATTTCAATAAAAGTTCTAAACTTTTGAATATTTTCGGAAGTGTATTATATTTGAAAACTTCTTTAAGAAACTTTAATATTTCTTAAAGAAGAACCTTAAAACTTGAAATATTTTAAAGAATAATGAAATTCTTCAAAACCTTTCTTCCTTAAAATCCTGTAAAGAAATATTCCTGAAATATATAGAAAGTAAGCTGAAATAAATCCTTGAATAAAAACAAACTGCATAATTTTTTTTTGTAAATAATTTTTGTGTGTGATTTTTGTTTTTTATTTGGTTTTGGGTCAAATTCGTTTTTTGTGTTAAATTGTTGGTTTTTTGTTGTTTTCGCGCTAAAACTTACAGGCTAGACAAAAAAATTGATTTCCTTTCGCTTAGACGACTAGTTAAACTTAAAAATTACCAATATCTAAATTCGCATATTATCAATACCAAAAAAAAATATATATCTATATATATAGTTTGAAAAAAAAAAATTGGAAAGTGTTATATATGACTAACTGTACAAGAGTGTAGGTGTGTGTCGGTATTGAACTAATCATTGTTTTTTTTTTTTAAGTTTTTTGCGTTTAAGTTTTTCTTGAAGATTTTTGAGTATTTTTTGTCGAAAATCTTTTTGAAATTTTTGATGGCCAACGAACTCATTGCACGATTTTATGAATCGAGCATAAAACTTCGCCAGAATTCGAAGTCCACAGCTTCGTCTAATATTTTTGGTTACTCTAGTTCTTAGTTTTTTTTTCCTTTTTTTGTATTTTGTTGGTGAACTTTTTCTTGGGATGATTTTTTTCCTGCTACTCCGTTTGCCGGCCGGAGGCGTTGTTTGTTTCTTAAAACACTATATCACAATATCTTTTTCAATCCATATTTTCCTTCATATCCCTTGCCGCTCTGCGCCGCCCGTCATATCACTTTTGGGGTTTGGGGTTTTCCTGGTATAACCCCTTTTTAGTAGGGCCTCCATACCGTTTTCTGTTGCACGGCCGCCGACTTGAGCTTGGTGGCTGCTGGGATGGTGGTCTCCGGTGAGGCCTGACGCGGATTCACGGCCACCACTGATGGTTCGTGGTACAGGGGCTTCATGGCCGATGGTGCCTTCAGGTCGCAGCGCATCCTCAACGGTCCCAGGTGGTGGGCCACCGGCGGGGAACTGCGCGTGGAATCGATGCTCTTGTCCAGATCGTATTCCGACTTGACCACATCGATCTGCTCGTCATCGGAATCGGCATCCGAGGCGGACTGCTCGTGGATCGAGCTCGTTTCGATGGAAGTGTTCAGCTTGAGGAGGACATGCTGCTGGGTGGGCGACGAGCTCGAGGGGCGGGAGGAGGCGGGACTGACGTGATTCAGCGGCGCCACACCGCCGGACTCTGACTGGTGGTGGAGGGCGGCGTTGCGGGCCCGCAGGCCGACGGCAGCGGCGGTGGCAAAGTTGTACGGATGGAAGGCGTGGGGCGTAGCCTTGGGATGCTGGTGGGCGGCAGCAGCGGCGGCGGCAGCCACATGATTGAACGGGAACTGGGGCATGGCATAGGCGGCCGCTGGGGCGGCACCGGGTGGCGAGGGCATCATGGCCGCCGGCTGTCCGGGAGCACCACCGGGATGGTAATCGCCGGTAGGTGGTGGTGCCACACCGCCATTAGCACCCGGAGCTCCACCGCCGACCGAAGCGGCAGTTGGCACGCTGTTGGAGCCGGCAGAGACGGGAGAGACCTGGGCGGCAGCCGCCTTGGCGAGAGCGGGATGATGGACCTGGGCCGCTGCCTGGTGGCGGAAGTAGTCCGCATATCCGTAGGTCATGTAGGCGGCGTCCAGCCAGGCGGGGTTCAGCATGAAGGGATTGAAAGCGCCGGGATGGGGATAGCCATAGCCTAAAAAGGATAAAATAAAATAAAAACAATAAGTAAGGATATTCAGGATATTCCAAAGTTTTTTTTTGTAAAAATTGGTTAAGGATTTGGAGGAGTTTGTAGGGTTGAGGTGGAAAAGGACTAAGGATAACTGAAAACATAATGGAAACTAAAAAACTCACTTTGCTTACTTCTTGGCTCCCGCGGCCCGTCGACCGTCACCTTGATGGCTTTACTGTAGCTGGCTATTTGGACAGGATACGTGGCGATCGTGATGGTCAGCGTGAAGGACTTGCCGCGTCCCGATCGTCCCACAAATCGGAGATCATTGAATTTGGCCACCTGGTTCTTCATGGTGGTGGTGCAGTTCCTCAACTCGCCGCAGTAGTTCTCATCGTTGCCGCATTTAATGGACACCAGTGTACCATCCGGGACATCATCCAGGGCGATCACCTTGAAGGCACCCGGCAGCGACTTGTTGGAGCGCCAATGGTTGGGCAGGGCGCTGCACAGGATCGATGGTGAGCCGGTTTGGGCCAATTCTCCATGGTATTCCTGCAGCATTTCATGCAAGCTGGCGAACATGTCCGTCATCGAGGATGGCATCTTGGCCGAATTTGTGCTACTGCTGTTGTTGTTGTTGTTGTTGGCAGATGATGAGGAGGAGGATGTGGTGCTGGTACTGATATTGGCGGTATTGAGATCCGGGGTCGAACTGCCCGTACTGCTGGCCGAGTGTGTGCTGGTATTGGCCTGGTTATTGGCCGAGGATCCTGCCGAGGATGAGCCGGAAACGGAAATGGCCGCCGCTGCTGCTGCCGCTGCGGCAGCAGCCTGCAGGACCTGTGTGTGCGATGAGGTGGTAGTGGTGGTATTGGCCACCATGGTGGGACCCGCTGGCAGATGCATTTTCTATATATTCTAGATATATATAGTTTTTTTCAGTGTTTTTATGTTGTTTTTATCCGAATGGTAATCCTTGGTATGGTGTAGCTTGTTGTTGTTGTTGTTGTTGGTGTAACACTTCACTTTATACACTTGGAAAAAATTTGGTTTAATTTTCTTTTCAAAATATATACAATATTATGATATATATTTTTCTTGTGGTTGTTGGTGAATTTTTTTTCAAAAAAAAAAAAACTTCGCGCCTTCGACTTGTGAGATTCTCGTTATTTTGGGGAGGAGAAATATAAATGTAATGGATGTGAGAAGAGTTGGCTTTCTGCGTTCTCGACACGCTAAAGTCGCTGAGTGAACTGATTCTCTGCTGCGATCGTTGGCAGTATTTAAAGTGGAATGCGCCGCCGACAGCGCTGCCAGCGTTTGTCGGACGTCAGCGACGGTGACGGCGGCGGCGGCCATCCCTTTCCCACTTGCAGGTCGCCAAGGGGCAGCTGTCCTTTTTGGCCTGGTGGTTTGGTTGGTTACCTACCCATACACTATCCACTCTGTTCTGTCACTGTATATATATGTGTGTGTGTGTGTATTTTTAAGGGTTCAGGTAACGGAGCAACCACCATTGCCGCCGCAACAACAACCACAGTAAAAATTTCCCATTTTTCCATTGCGGTTCGTCACACGCACACACTCACACACACACACACACACCCACTTTCTCTCGCGAGAGAGAGCGAAAGAGAGCCATTTCTAAAGGCGTGCGTTCCTTCTTGTTGTTTTTGTTATTGCCTCTGCCTTGTTACTTGTGGCCAAAATAAAAAAAAAAAAAAAACCGTACCGAAGGAAAATGAAAATAAAAATACGCGAGGGTGCCAGAAAGAGAGAGAGCTATAGCCAGCCATAGCACGGTGGGAGAAAGTCAGGCGAACGGAAAGAGATAGCTTCACTGGAAAGGCGCAGGCGGGCGTTCAAAAAAAAATTGCACCAAGAAGAAAAACTCAACATAAAAAACAGAAAAAAAATTTGTTCAAGAAAAAAAAACGCATTTCTCTCCGATTTTCTCTTTCGCTCTTTCTCTGGCCACTCTGTCTCTTTTTTGCACAACAGGCGGTCTGGAAAATGTGTGTGTTTTCCTCACCACCCCGCCCCCGCAGCCTCCTACGCTGCTGCTTTTCTTTTTCGTTTTTCTATTATTTCCATGCCACGCACGCCAAAAAGGAAAAACGCAAAAGGCAAAAAGGAAAAGGCAGGGGCCCGTGCAACAGTTTCCCATTTCGCAGCACTGCTGCTGCTGCCGCTAGTGGTGCTGCTGCTGATGCGGATGCTGCTGCGTTTTCCACTTCCAGCGGTGAGGTAGCGGGGGGCGAGGGTGACGGGGGGTGCCCCCATCCCAACACTCACACACACACAGGTAACACTGGTACACAGTGCGACACTGGAGAGGACAGGGCATCCTGCCGACAGGACATGAGGACTCAATTAGGCCCGGCCGGAGGAGGATCATCAGGGGATCGATCCTGTCTTAGAGTAATATTTACCCAAAAAATTATCATAAATATTATGCATAAAATGAGATTAATTATGAGGATTAAAAAATAAATAAAAAATAATTTTAAAATTTTATTCAAAATAGAAAGAAGTGTAATAAATAGTTTTTTGGAAAAATAAATGAAAAGGGTTTAAGGTTTTAAGATGAATAGTCTAAATAGATATTCATATATTTGGAAATAAATATAAAAATGAACAGAAAATTAACTTAATATTTTAGAAATTAAAGAATTTATTAAGAATCCAGAACCATATTTTGAACCTCCTTTAAAAATAAACTTCAGAATAGTATCTGAAAAATATTCAGTACAGATACAAAAGGCTATAGGCAGAAAACTTCTTAAGATAAAAAGAAGTTTCCAAAAACTCGAACCACGAAAATATTAAACAAAACAAGATATAAAATAAATTCCCAATCATTTATTAGTCAGTTTATTATTAAAGCCAAATATAATATATAAACTAAATATACTAATTAATATTCACAATAAAAATCCCTAGAGATCCCTAAAAACCCTTCATAAGCAATACCCCATATGATATCTCTCTAGACCTCTTAAAACCTCCTATATGATACCTCTCTTTAGACCTCTTCAAAACCCAAACAAATATGCAAAATAATAAATCTAATAAACAAAATAAACAAGAAAACAGATCCCGCCCCGGGACTAGAACAACAAAATCTTCAAAAAGAGAGTAAGTCCGGAAAATCCCTCATTGATCATATTACTCCTGAACCGATTTGGAAATAGATCTAATAGATCCAATCTAACATGCATTGTGTATTGCCCAACACAGCAACTTGATCAACTTGCTGGCGTACATAGTTTGATACCGATCTGGTTACTGGATCACAATCTATATCCAACTAACACCCATTGTGAGGGCTGGATTCTTGGGCAACAATCATATCTAAATTTCACTTCCAGATCGCTTTAATCCTGATGCTGATCGGGGGCGATTATCCTGCGATTAGTCATGTAAATATTTGTGTGTCTTTGTCTCTTTCGCAGTTTGTTTCTCCTCAGCTAGCTGTCTCTTTTTTTTTGTTGGACTGAAGTGGCGCAATCCTCGGATCTTCTTGGATTTCAGTCTCATTTCCGATCCATGATTGGATCAAGTTCTGGTAGCCAACTGATCTGTAGTTGTTTTTTTTTTTGTGATTTTCATCTCATCCGGTAGTGTTATACTTGGAATTCTTAAAAATTTGGTATGTAATGGAAAGGCTATTTCTTAAATAGGCTAACTAAAATATATTTTTATTTAAATAAATAGTTCTTTTAGTTCTTAGTGTTTTTGATGGGTTTTTATAATAATGAGATGACAGAGGGTTTCTATTTATAGGGTTTATAGTTTTGATTTTCCTCCAATATTATAAGACTACTCATTTTTCATATATATAAGCCTTTTCTAGTCATATATATATTAATTATTTTAACTATTTCGAAATAAAGAAGGTCTTATATCTTAAGAAAATTGAAATTTGATGGATTAAATAAAGATCCTTATAAACATTGAGACTCTCCATAGTTTGATTATCTTTTTCCAATAATATTCAGTATCCCCATAACAAAATAGCTTAGAATTTAGAAACACCATTTAAAAAAACAATGATCCTTAAACTTTATGAGTCCTCTATAAAAATAAATAAATGATTTATGATTTAAATATAAGGATGTTTAAAATATCATAATATGATATAATGGTTAATGATAGCAGTACCGGGTACCATACAATATTTAATATTGAAAACTCTACCATCCTATTCCGATTTAATTAAAGTACATTATTTTATTACAAAAAAAAATATTAAATCTTTTAAAGAATTTCATATATTATTTTTTTTAACAAATCTTTCATCATAGAACTAATCCAAGTGTATGGCAAATCAAATGCCTGACTGGCCAAAAAATTGCGGGCCACCAAAACAACCTTAAAAACGAGGCCACATCGTGCCGTAAAAAGTGGAGTGAGTCCTGAAGGGGAAAGTACCACGAGCAGAAAGGACTAAAGAGGCCCAAGGACCAAGAGGGGCTGAGGCGTAGGGACTGGAATATTGAAGAGGCCCCTCCACAAGACCAACCAAAATGTCGCGAGAACGCGCCGCTCTCAGCTGGATATTATCCTCCGCACACTTCCAGTAAAAATAAAAAAAAAAAGCAAAAACACAAATAGGAGAAGTTGAAGTAAATCCTGTGCTGCTCTTGGACGGCAGCGCTGCTTTTGTACGTGCGCGGCCGCTTGCTGAGCGGTCCGAGGACCTAGCTGGCATATATCCTCTATATCCTGCCCTGCTCTGTGTATATCCTGTGCGTCCCTTTGAGCGTGCGACAAGGACGCTCGCGTTTTCCCGGGAAATCGTCCGTCAAACGAACGACCGCCGTCGTCCTGGTGCTCCTGTCGAAATACTATTTTGGATCCTGCTGTGATTCCTTGGCAATTTGCGACAGGAGCTGCCGCAGCAGCACGCGCATCGCCGGCCAGGATCGCGAAGGATATATCGCACTTATACAAACACACACACACACGCCTACACATCAACACACAGGTAGGTGTGCCAGCCAACCTGCCAAAAAGGACTGTACAGGAGCCAAATAAAAAACCCTTTTTTTATAAACGTTGGAAATTTCTTTTAATTTTTTTTTTTTTGCTCCAAAAACTCCAAAGATATAGAGGAGTCAGGTAAATATATATGAACCCGATCCTTCGATATAAACAGGTAGTCCAACCGCGCAATCTTAATCCTTTTGCTTATGAAAGTCAATCTCTCGGATTAGCCAGCACGCCCTGCAAATATTTTGGCCGATTATCCTCCCGCCACGGGCCATAAAATATGGGACAAAAAATTATAGTCCTCTATAGTATACCTGGGATACCACCGATTTCTGCATCGTTTCTACCTGTCTCTGGGGGATTTTCATTTTTATTTTTTTTGTGGGTTTAAACTAGTGGGATTTGTCGGTGGGTTTTTGGGTTTATTTTATAAATTTTATAGAGGTTTAATTGAGGTTATTTTCGGTTAAGGCATGGATTTAGGTTTTTAGTAGTTTTATTAAGGGACTTGGGTTGATATTTTAGGAAAAAACTAGTTACAATTCTAGTGGAGATTATCTACAGTAGAGGTATATAATATAATAAAAAAACCTAAGTTTATAAGGATTTTACTAAGTAAGTTCCTAAAATAAATAAAAAGGAAGTTTATAAGAATATGTCATGTATTTTAAAGAAAGACAAGGTAAATCTTTGAAATATTATTCATTTAATTGATCACTAAACTAATAAAACTTTATAAATCCCCCTTGAAACAGAGATAATAGATACGACTAGTAACTAAAATAAAGGATTAATAAAAAGAAACCTTTAAACAGGTGATATAGAATATAAAATATATTATAAAGGAACGTATAGGAAATATTAAAAATGTTAATACAATTTGAATAGTAGTTTTGAGAGTAAGAATTTGGAATGATGACTCATAAATCCATTTTTTAATCCAGGCGCTGTTTTATAAACCTTCATAAATTAATATGGAATATAATAAAATGGAAATATTCAATAGATCTTTAAGTAACTCAAATAAAAGCACTTTTAAATTATAAGTTCTAAAAAAAACCTG